ATATTGAGAAGCTACTGTTTATGAGGCACTCTGCTAGATGGTAGCTCACTTCACACTCACAAACTCCCTAGGGAAGGTATTATTAGTGCGATGCCTGCTCTGCAGAGGGTGAGACAGACCCAGATGACTCAGGTTAAGTAATGTGCCCAGGGTCACACCGCTGTTAACAGTAGGTACACGCAGACTCGGCAGGTCTAGCTGGAGTGCGTGCTCTTCACTACGAGGCTGGGGTCTGAAAGCGCTTAGTGGAACCTTCCAGCCTCAGAACTTGAACTCTCAACCAGGGCACAGCAGGGAGTGAGCACTCCGTCAATGGTGGTGTTCCCTCTAGGCTGTGGGTTATCCATCCTTACCTTTGCTTCCTGTGAGGCCGCCAGAGCCTGACCTGCATTCCCATCGGGCCGTGTTTAGCAAAGCCCCGGGCCCAGCCAGTGGGGTGGGGGCAGGGCGGGTGAGCTGGAGAGCGTCTCATAAACATTTGGGACTGTGAGAGCAGATGTGTGATCTTGCAGAATGATTCTCGCTTCAGGACTGTGTGTTGACGCTGATGTCACGGCTGCTCTGAGCACCCGAGATACTGTTAACGAGCTGTTCCAAGCCCAGATGCAGTGTTTTCTCACCATATGGTCCGCGCTGAAGTGCGTGGTCTTTCAGACTGGGATGGCAGGAAGCTCAGAGACGCTGCACCCTATGCATGGAAAACCTACTTGCAGGAGCCGCATCTTCCAAAACTGCCCCAATTCTCCCGACTTCTAGGGACCATATATTCATTTACATGTCATTCATTTATTCATCTAATAACCAAAAATAGTTATGGGGCAGCTATGATGTGGCAGATACCACGGTAGGCACTGGGGTTACAAAGGTGAATAAAACGTCACCTACAGCCTCAAGGAACTGAGACTACCCATGAAGGGTGTGGAAACAGGCCATATTATGACTTTATTCTAAGCTCTGTAATGCAGGTAGTTATTGAGGACTCTTGGAATTAAAAGAAGCTAATGAAAATCTCTTTAATGGAATGAAAAATTCTTTTTTTGCACACCTAGCATCTGAATGCCTTTCCTATTTGAGACAATTCCCCAAATAGGCAAAAGGCAGGTCCTATCTGATACTCGTGACAGTAAAGAGTGGCAGTCACTCTTCGTACATGTCATAAAGTCAAACCTGAGTTTCCCCTGGATTTCAGCTTCCTGGATCCAGGTGATTACTGAACACCTCTCCTTGGGCATGTAGCAGGTATCTCATATCACAAGTCCCAAATCAGACCTGTGGCTTCCCCCATAAACCCACTCTGTCCCCAGCATTCTCTGTATCAGTGAACTACACTCCCAGTCAGCCGTCGGCGCAGGCTGACAGTCTCAGAGCCATCTGTGACCCCTCTCTTTCTCTTGCACGTACATCTCACTCACTGTTAAGGGCGGTCAACCTTATTTTTAAAATCCATCCCAATTCTGATCACTTGTTACCATGTTGCCCTCTCTTCCCGGCCCTGGCCATGTCTATCTTGCTCTCCCGAAATGGGCTCTTAGCAGATTGTCTTCCTTCTACTCCTGCCACACTGCTGTCTGTTCTCAACAAAACCACTAGGAAAAAAAAAAGAAAATTAAGTGTGAATTATAGCATATTTTCCTATGCAATATTCATCCTTACCTTCTCATCACATGTAGAAAAAATTCCAGTATCTTTCCCATGGCCTATAAGGCCCCTCATGGTCTGTTCCCTGGGCATCTCCCTAACCTTATTGTCCAACGTTCCTACCTTTGCTCACTCCTCTCTGGCATTACCAGTCTTCTTTCTGTTCCTCGAGCACACCAGATGGGAGAACATGAGCATGCCGAAATGCCGGATGCAGTTGAGACAAACTTACTTGAACCTAGGAGAGAGAAGGTGAAAAGTTCCTGAGAAGGTGAGGGAGGGTAAGATCCAAAACCCAGACTGGGGAAGGGGGTGTCTTTTCCAGCGGAAGAGTTGCCTCGTTCCCTCTTACAGGAAGAGGGAGAACAGGATGGTGTAGAAATCGTTGCTGGATCAGAGGCCCAGAAGAGAGTCCTGGGGAGGGGACAAGGGAAAGGAAATGAGGGGTCCAAACCCACCATAGCAGACACGTTAGCACCGTCTAGACAGGAGGTGAATGGCTTGCCATTCTCCCATCCATTCGTCCAACAGTATTTACTGAGCACCTGCTATTTGCCAGGACCTGGTGTTAGGCATTGATGCTGGTATTGAATTAACTTTTGCTCAACCACTGAACTTAGAAACAAAAGAAACACTCACTCAGTGAGACCATATCTTCAGGTTCTGAGCCCATTTCCTTCTCTGTAAAACTGAAATAATAATAACTGCTCTTGTTGATTAAAATAGTTCATTATGTGATGCTATAAAGAGCTCAACGTTTGTCATTTGTGCAGGCTACATGGGTAGCTTAGTGGAGAAAGGGACCCTGTCTGTTGTGTTCGTTGTTATATTACCAGTAGGTGATCATTTATGGAATGAATGAGTGAATGAAAACGACTGATTCAGAATCTGTTTTAGAAAGGGAGAATTGCGACTTTATCAATTTTGAGCAGCCACTGGGTATCTTTATACTTGCAAAATAACTCTGGCAACTGAGGCCACAATGGTTGAGGTAGACTTACCATTTTTACTCTGAATATAGGAACTCTCTTAAATGATATGCTTTTAACACCCATCTGTAGCAGGATGGTCAAAGCCACGTGGGCTCCTCTGCTCCCCTCCACCTTCTGCAGAGCCTTTTTCTAACACCTCCCTCAATTCCTTTCTTCACTGAGCACTGAACTAGGCACACACTTACTCTCCTGTATCCACCAGCTTCTAGGTTGGGTACCATTCCATCCCAGGTGCTTCAGATACAAGACTCCAGATCCACAAAGATCCTGACAGGTTGTCGATTAGCTGGAATAAAGGAGATGAATTTGAATGGGGCTCAGTGTAAAGACAGGCACTGAGGTCTAAGGAGTGAAAGGTGAAGAATGGGTGAAGAGAAAAGTTGAGCAGCTGCTCCTGTGCTAAAGGAAAATATGACATAAGCACACACACACAAAATACATCTGAGGGGCTAAAATATGAAAAAGGCCATGAAAAAAATAGCTATTTTCAGATGTGGGTTTTTTTTTTGCATCAACATTTATTTAATATGTTTATAACATGATATGAGATTCATCATTAAATAAAGGGCTGTCTCTGTCCAATTGAAATACAAACAGGACATCAGTATGTTTCCTGTACTTGGGCTGAACTAATGGTAGCTCCATCGTTGGTCACCAGCCTCCAGATCAGGAAGTGCAATTGGCGATATCGGCTTGAATCAGAATATACCTTTTCTAGATCAGTCCCTTCGTTCCCATGTTGTTCAGCCCTTTTCCATTTGGTCAAGTGTAAGTATTAATATTTTTCTTGGCCCTTCTGTAAGAATTGCTGGAAGAATGACCTTGGCTCTTGGGCAGCTGGCTTATGTTAAAAAACGTTGGCGTTACTTGGGCACTATTCTAAGTGATTTACGTGCGTTATCCCATTTCATCTTCGTTAAAACCCTATGAGAGATGGACTCTTATTAACCTCGTTTTTTAGAAGAGAAATTAAGTCTCTGAACGGTTTTAGTAACTCCATCACAGTGATGTGGGAATCACAAGTCTTAACTCAGGCAAATCCTTAGCCCCTCCCCTGCAAATTAGACAAATTGATCTGGCAAGGGCCAAATGAGGCATGCACACATCAAGACATTCAAAATACTTTGGAGAATATGTCACTCCAAAATGAGCATGATTATTTATGGCCAGGGCTATTGCTTGCATCCGAAAACACCACGCTGCCCAGCCATTCTACTCTAACAATGTCCAGCTCTGTGCAAATTTCTCCATGAGGCAAATTCCTCTTGCCTAATAAAAGTGCTTTGCCGAGAAAGCTCAAAACCCAGTTGCAATTAATTATTGACAGAGCATGTGAATTAGAGATAAAAGAAAAGTCATTCTTCCTCCACACACGCGATAGTAAATAAATTTAATTATGGTAGGAAAAGCTAAGGGATCTTCGTCTATATTAAGTTTTATTAGCTGAGACATTTAAAAGCATGTCATCATAACAAAGAGGTCTTGTGTAATCCTAAATGTACCACTTTGGTGCAAGGCTCGGGAGTGAATAGACTTAATGGAGCACATGGTGGCAGATGGCCTGCTGTACCGACAGGTATTGAACAGGTTTATTGTCAATTAACTTTAGTCTACATATGCCTATAGCAAATTGACTGTATAATAGGATCCTAAGCCTCATTTTATCACTGATAGGCCTGCCATGTTGGGATGATGGGGAGAATGGTATCAAACTCTTTTAATATCTTGGAACTCCCAGATAAGATCAGGCCACTCGGAAGGCAAACACGGATGGAGGGGTCGGTGTGGAGTAGCAACCTTGGCAAGAAAACCAAGAGATGTTGGGGCCCCGGTGTGGGATCTATCAGGGCTCACTGGGCACCCTCAGGAGCAAAGAAAGAACAAAGTCCCATATACTGAACCAGACCTATGTAGATGTTTTCACTCTATATGTCATTTTACTCTCAACTGAACTTGAGAGGTAGGTTTTGGAATTTTACAAATGAGGACAGTAAGATTCGGAATGTAATTCAGTTTGCTGAGGTCACAAAGCCTGTTGGAGTCCCGTGGCCAGACCCTCTCCCTGGGCTGCTGTCTTCTCATTTGCACACTAATTCCTTTGGAGTCAGGGGTCAGCCAACTTTTTCTTAAAGTACCAAATAGTAAATATGTTAGGCTTTGTGAGCCATATGGTCTCATTGCACTTACTCAGCTCTGCTGTTGTAGTACAAAACCAGCCATAGCTGATATGTAAATGTACGAGTGTGGCTATGTTCCAATGCAAGCTTATTTATGAACGTTGAAATCTGAATTCCATATAATTTCCCATGCATCAAAAGATGTTATTGTTATTTTGGTTTTTCTTCAACCATTTAAAGTTCACAAATCATTCTTAGCCATGGGGTCATGCAAATAACAGGAGGTGAGGGGCCGTTTGCCAACCTGGGACTAGATAATCTTTGAGGTCTTGTTGACTGTGCTCGAACAGTTTCTGAAAGCCTCTGCAACAGTAATAATATCCTTAATTTATTAAGCTCTTACAACATGCGGGATTCTGTGCTAAATGCTTTTCAAGCATTATCTCCCTTAATCCTTATGCTACAGTGTGAAGTCAGCGCTGTCATTATCTCCATTTCAGAGATTATAAAACTAATTCATAGAGAAATTAAGGGTGTATCTAGGTTAATCATAACCGGTAAGAGGTAGAACAGCAATTTAAACCATGGGGTATAAGGTTCCCAGAAAGAATGCGTATGCCTTATGCTGCCTTTTCTGATAGCACACAGTCAAGACTATCGTGGGGACATATAGTAATAGGGAAAAAGGACTTCCATGTGTTTTTCTATTTCCTTTGGTGACTCTTCACTAGGTTATTTATGTCACACATTTTGTGCAGAGAAGTTACACTATGTTGGGATGACACAAGATTAGAACAATGGGCTCCATATATACTAGCCATCAAAGTATATATGGCGAAAAACTTAATCGCCATTGGTATTGACTGATTACACTATGGTGCTCAAAGGGTGGTGATGTTCACCAGGGATTCGAGGGTGGGAGGGGTAGTCCCACGTCGGTGGGATGGGGTGAACATTGTGGCGGGGAAGGGCATACCTCTAACCCTTGCTAGGGAGAGGCAAAGAAATAAAATGTAACCAAAATGTTAAGAAAAAAAAGAAAAACAAACATCTGTCGGGCGTGGGGCAGATGGGAGGGGGAAATGGGGATGTGTGGGGGAAGGGGGGATGGGTGTATACATACGTAGTGAGTGTGGCGCACACTGTCTGGGGGATGGACACGCTTGAAGCTCTGCTTCGAGGGGGGAGGGGAGACAAGGGCACTGTATGTAACCTTAACGATTGTATTCCCATAATATTCTGAAATTAAAAAAAAAAAAGTTACACTATGTCTGGACAGAAATAACCATTCTCTTCCCCTTTCCTTCGTCTTTCAGGAATGTGATGCCCAAGACTCTGGATGGACAGATCACCATGGAGAAGACCCCGAGTTACTTTGTGACAAATGAGGCCCCCAAGCGCATCCACTCCATGGCCAAGGACATCAAACTGATCGTGGTGGTGAGAAACCCCGTGACCAGGGCCATCTCCGATTACACCCAGACACTGTCCAAGAAACCCGAGATCCCCACCTTCGAGGTGCTGGCCTTCAAAAACCGGACCCTGGGGCTGATCGACGCTTCCTGGAGCGCCATTCGAATCGGGATCTACGCTCTGCACCTGGAAAACTGGCTCCAGTATTTCCCTCTCTCTCAGATTCTCTTCGTCAGTGGTGAGCGGCTCATAGTGGACCCTGCCGGGGAAATGGCCAAAGTGCAGGATTTTCTAGGCCTCAAGCGTGTGGTGACTGAGAAACATTTCTATTTCAACAAAACCAAGGGGTTCCCTTGCCTAAAGAAGCCAGAAGACAGCAGTGCCCCCAGGTGCCTGGGCAAAAGCAAAGGTCGGACTCATCCCCGCATTGACCCCGATGTCATCCACAGACTGCGGAAATTCTACAAACCCTTCAACATGATGTTTTACCAAATGACTGGTCAAGACTTCCAGTGGGAACAGGAAGAGGGTGACAAATGAGGCTAGAGATGTGGAGGGAAGGCTAGTGAATAGCTAAGGAGGCTCCTTCCCTGAGTCCTGAATCCCCTGGTTTCTGCAGCTTCACTTGCCAGAGTGCCAGGCACATCTCCTCCTTCATCCGGCCGGGGCTGCCTCCCGTGCCGTTGGCTTAGGCAAAGGGGTGGATCCCAAGGCATCCCATGGAAGAGCCGGGCCTGCCTGGGAAGCAGCATCTGGTTGACCAGATGTCCACCAGAACCCGCTGTTAATGCTTGTCTTCTGCTAGTTAATAGAATATGAAGACAGAGGATAAACAGCTGCCGATGTCAGAGACAGTGCTATGAATGTTTGAGTGACCAAAAGAAAGAAAGGTCTACTTTATGGGGTTCTCACTTTAGGTTGGGGAGCCAGGGTTCTAGCCCTGTACCTGGCACAGGCACCTGCTGTCTAAACCTCCAGAATACACTTTGCGGCTAAGTGCCCCAGGACTCCTAGGGAGCAAGGTCCTCCTTCTAAGGTGTTTCTAGCCTTCTCTTTAAAGCCCTCATCCCACAACCCTTGGACTTCCTCCTTCCCCACATCATGAAGGCAGAGGCATGCACGTTCTTCACCAAAAAAAGCTGATACCCCTGGAGCCTTCTTCCTAAGAGCCCCTCTAAGGAGGGTTGGGTCTCTCTCTTCATGAGTAGCCCTGATCATGGAGAAGCTTGGCATATGCCCTTGCGCCAGAGTCAGGCCCACGGGGCTACGCGCAGAGCAGTGTGGTTGTGGTAGAGTTCACAGCCATGAGGTTGGCAAAGGTGAATGGCCATAACTGGGAGTGAAGGAAGAAATCCAGTCCTCTTGGTGGGAGGTCTCCTTACCTGAACATCCTCTTCCCCAAGCACCAGACTTCTGAGGCATGCTTTTGGGGTGGGCTTTGTCCCCTTGGGTCCCCAGAAGGGCAAAGATCAGAGTTGGCATGCCTCTTATTATGAATAATCCTTAGTAATGCCACGGAGAAGGGAGCCGTCACCGTCCTTCTATTTGTCCCCCACCCCAACTGCTCAGGGTCATCTCATGCTTCGTTTTCTCTCTGCAGAGATGGCAGCTGCTGGGCAGCGGTGAGAGGGCTGACTCCATTTGTCACATCCTGTTTATGGGGGGGTGGGAGAGAGCAAGGGCTGTCTGCAGATGCCCCAGTCAAGGGCTGCCGAATAAAGCGTCTCTTCCGGTTAGTTTGATTCGATTAAAATGTACCATTTGACATAAAACACTTGTTTGCAGATCTCCAAAACCAGGAATTGTTCTAGTAAAATTGGAAATTTGTATGAGTGGGGGGAGTTAAATCTGTTCAGCTGTTATTAAACTGTCATTTCTCCCGCTAAATGAAAACTGTGTTGTTATAAAGCTTCATGCAACCTGAGCAATGGGTTTCGATGGTGTGTTTGTGCAGGGAATCTCCACCCCAACGCAACCCCAGGATGCCAGTAGCATCCTTCCACTGGGATGGCCTGAAAGGCCCAGATTCCAGCGTCTTGGGTGGGTTCTGTCTGCAGGGCAGGATGATTGTTGCAATAGTACAAAGAAAGTGGCTCCTGAAAGGGGTGTAGCTTGTTCTATCTTAACCAATCAGGCAAGGCATGGGCTGACACGCCAGATTTGGAAGCAGCCTTACAAATATTTTTTTCTTGATAAGAAAGTAGTTATTGAAATGAAGGCAACAGATATACCTGCACTATCAAAGTAAAAAAAAAAAAGATATAGATCAAAATACACACACATACACATACACGCATTTGAAGGAAGAAAATGCATGCTTATTCAGAAGGGTGAACGTGGGACTGGCTTACGTGGGGCCTTGTTTCATAAGCACAACAAGGAGTGAGTTTCAGCCCAGCTACACATCAGAGTCGGTAGTGGGGTTTGTTCAAGGTACAGCTTCCCAAGCTCCATTTCAGACCTGTGAATGACTCAGAAACACCAAGGTGGGGCTGAGGTGTCCATCCTTTCCAAAATATTCTTATGGAACCTGGAACTTAGAACCACGGGAGGAAAGTCTTGCCTGTGTGTTTCTTTGCCTTCTCTTCCTCCCTCCCACTTGCTTTTATGCTTTTGTGGCAATTATTCCCAAGGGAGGTGGCCCCCGGGGGTTGTATAGCTTCTTTGCAAGAACATATTCTCCTTTGGAGCAATGATAGGTAGGTAAGGGGTGACCTCATAACTTAGTCAATGCAGTGTCTGGTTTTAAGAAAGCTTCATCAATTAATCTATCGGCTAAAAATGACCATGACTCTAGCCCACTCTCATCTCTTCCATTCTGGATGGACACACGTTCATTCAGCCCCCAATCACACCTACCCTCCATTGTTCATCTCCCTGGCTGTCTACCTGTCCGCATAATCCCAGAACATCAAGACCTGCTTCCAAAGAAAGGTATTAAGTGTGTGTCCTCACATAAATATGTCACAGAAATGTGACAAGCAAATCCATTTTTAATATGGTCGGCCAATGGTGGATAAGCCATTTCCCCTAGGAAATAAATGTGGGAACCCTCCCCCTTAAATGATTTATATACCCTTGTATAGAACTAAAATTCCCTGGAGAAAGAGGGCAGAGGCCTAGCTAAGCCTTGGGATCTTGAGGATATTTATATTAAAGAATCTGTTTGGTGATAGAGTTGAAAGCTCGTGGTTCTTAAAAGAAATGAAAATTTCGCATGTTTAAAGTCTATTTTCTGCGGCGTCTACTCTGGCTTGATCCTTGTCACTCTGGGAGGGAGTCACTAAGCCATGTCCCCTTCTTCAATAGGGAGACTTGACAAAGGAATTATTTTCTATCCAGAAATGCTAAGTCAACTTGCTGAAATAGAGCCGGGTTAATAATACCTGCACCCTATTTGCACGCGAGCATCGCAACTCACAAGAGATTGAATTTTCTATTTGATTTCAATTAGCAAAACGTAAATTATATTTAATTTTCTATCCCCCTCCCTCCCCTGCATCGGATGATTCGTAGCTCTGGAAAAGCTTCCATGTGTGGTTCAGGGATGTGAAGAGGAGAATTCATCCTTCCCCTAGCGCAGGTATCAAAGCCCCCACTTTCCTCTCTCGTGGCCAGTATCATTCTGTACCTGAAAGGTACTAAAGCCTTGACGTTGCCACTTAGACCTCCCAGCTCAAAACACAACTTCAATAATAGCAAAAACATTCAGCATCCCTGTTTATCTGTAGACAGTATATAGAAACCATGACTCCAGAGCAATGAAGGGGTGGCCATTCATGGGGATTCCCTGCAACCTGCCGGACCCCGCAGATCAAATTTTAAGGCCAGGAGAGTGTGGCCTGGTCAGTCCCTTAGTACTAGGAGTCCCCAATCTAAGCTGCACTTCTTTAAGACCTTAACTCCTGGTTTTTCCAGTTTCTTACCTTTCCCATCTGCTCCCACTTGCCCCCCTCATTATTTTCCAAGAAAGCATCTCCACTGCCTCACTACTATCAGAAGAGAGGCAGCTGGGCCTTATCCTTGCCTCTGTCTGTGCCTTGGACAAGTAGACGTACCAATAGGAACCTTAGTTCTCCTATCTCCAACGTGAGTGTATTTAATCTCTACCAGCCTGCCAGCTAGAGTTGCTGAGATGACCAAAATGAGTTCATAGACGAGAAAGTACTTGCAAAGGATGAGGGTGCTGATGGTGATGAAGATGAGGATGGTGATAATAGTTGTGATGAGGATAATTATGAAGAAGATTAAGAAGGAGAAAGAGGAGAAGGGGGATACGAGGCGGTTTCTGATACCCCTTCCAGAACAGTATGCCTTTATAATGTTCCAAGGGGGTATCTGAAGGTGAGACTAACTACTATTTTATTCAGAGTGAACAATTATGAAAGTGCTAACAGAAAGTGAGACACCCCTGATTTGCTTAAAGCCAAGGCCGGAAGAAAAGCTCTATGAATAGCACTGAACTGGCTGAATTTGAGGCACTCAAATGCATGACCTTCCTAGCCAGGGCAGGACCCCTCCTCCACCCCATGCATAGACAAGTTCTCCTCACTCTGGCCTTTCCCTTGCACTACACTCAAGGTGCTTTTAGATATATTAATAACACGCCTTCAAGATTCATTCGCACAGCACCAAACAGATCCTCACAGCACCAAACAGATCCTCCTGAGATACAAGTGAGAGTGAAGTTTTCAAACATGGATTCAGTGCCCGGCGCTCTGCCTCCTAACTAAAAGTCGGCATGGAAGACAAAGATGACTGAGAACCAGGGCACCTGCCTGGGAGCAGCTCTCCTATGTTTCTGGAGATCAGTCAGCGTTGGGTGAATCTCCATAGGTTCTTTTTGTAACAAATTGGGGTTGGGAGAGATGAGTTCATACGTTTCCCAGTTTCTCGAAGGGATGAGGATTTGTTATTTTCAGACATAAAAGGTACATGAACCTGTTTTAAAACTGTGAGATATCTGCTATGACAAGGTAATGATAGCACATCATCTGTCATCAAAGCAGGAAATAAAGGCCCCCAAAATGTATCTCCACTGATGGAAGATAAGCAGGAGCCCCTACTGTCCCTAGATAAAGGGAAACAACACTGCTGTAGTATCAGTCACGTTTCATTCAGTCTCTTACTCTCACACATCTGTGTCTATGTCTGTAGAGTGACCAAGAGGCACTTAAAGGCGAGATGGGAAGAGCCAAGCTGACTTGCCTTGACAGGACCCCCGGCCTAGTTGGGAAGCTGGATGTGGAAATGTTACAGCAAAGGATTGACCATGTACACTGTTGCGAGAGGGTGTTCAGAGGGTGCACAGGACATGGGGCCGGGTGTGGGGAGGTGACATGGGGGATAACCAACCCCGGGAAGGGAAGGACCACCAAGTACTTGAGGCATTAAAGACCACACTCAGCAGCATTTCGCTTCATCCCAAATCATAAACTAATTCTCTGCTCCGGTGTTAGGCTAAAGCACGCAGTTGGTAGACGCTAACAAAATAAAAGATAAAAAATAGAAGATTGGGTAATTAAGAAGGCTATGAGGCTGAGATTTGAGAGGGAAAGAGACACTGTTATTAAGAAAAATCTTTTCCCAAAAGGAAAGATACTCTCTCCTTTCTTTAAATGACTGTAGCCAAGCCATTGATAGGCAACATAAATCCTTCCAGAGACCTTCCGCCACCCATGGTTTCCTTGGCATTATCTGAGACCAAGGTCAAAGGACAACCCTCTTCCCCTTGTGGTCAGATGCCAATAGACTCATGGATCAAGAAAGAAACACCAAACCAATAGAAATTCACCTTTTTGGAAAACGTGTTAAAATCCATAATAGTGAAAATTAAAACACACTTACATATTCACGCATCTTTATTAGATCAGAGTATGAAGCAGACTTGTCCTTTAGATCAGGGATGATCAATAAACCTTACAACTATATTTTAATCATGTGGACTATGTGGGTTGGGAAACTAAGAGAGTTTCCCAAACTTCCAGAGCAATGTAGTAACTGCAATAAAACCAGAGCACAGGTGGCTGCACTAGGAGCAGTAGGAGAGGAAGTGTCAGTACAAGGTGCCCTAACAAGAGAGTAAACATGATTTGAAAGGATATTTTCATCATCTTTTTTTTCCTAAGCCCAGAAAAGTTCAGTTTGAATAACTCTGATCCTGTCTGATCATTCTAGACCACTTGGAAAAGAATTCTCTGGAACTAGGAGAACTGACACTGAGCTTTAGTTACAGAGAGTAGGGACTGGTTGGGAAGTCATCCTGCACCATGAACAGACTGGAGTTAGAACAGTTTTTCATGTTGGGAATCAGAAAGATCTTCAACAGAGCTTCTCTCTGGCTCCCAGTGAAGCCAGAGCACCCTGTTGTTAAAATAACTATGGGGAATAAGTGAGAGTGAATGCGAGACATGGAGCTCTTTTGGGTTAACACACCTCCTTCTGGCCAGTCTCAAGCATCATGGACCTAGTCCCTGGTTTCTTTTCCAAGAGAAATTTACATTCAAACTGAGACCCAGAGCAATGGAGACTTCTCTCCTTAGTCACCTGACCCCAGGAAATGCTTCCTGTCCAGTTTTCCAAACGGATCCTTCCTGGGATAGCTTATCCCCCCATTTAAGTTCTTATTCTTCACTCTTACCTGCAACACCCATATATCACCTGGTCTCTACTGAGAAAGCCTCCCCTTACAAAGATGCCAGTCGTCTATCCCACGTTCTTCAGGAACTCGGCTCCTGTAGCATTTGTCCAGGGCAGGCTATTCTGAGAGAAAAGGCAGTAGAAACTCAGAAAGGCACCTCAGGGCTGCACTGAGCACTATAAAAGTTGATGCAAGAATTCAGGTGCAGGCCAGTAGTGGGGCTGAGAAATTTGGTGCATAGAACCCTCAGAGTTCATGCCATGTGTCTTCATTTTATAGATGCAGAATTAGAAAGCACCCTGTCTTTCCTAAGATAACAGAAGAGCTGGGCTTCCAACCTGGATCTACTGACTTCCAACCCAGTGCACTTCCCACTACCCTTATATCAGAGGCTCAGGAGATAAACCAACAGTATTAAAAGGTGGCTTTGTCTCACAGATTGGTGTCAGAAATGAGATGCTTCTACAAGTGCTAAGAGGGTGGCTTTTTC